TTTGGTTCAAAAGATAAAAAGTAAAGGGTGGTGACCAGTTTTCTAACACCATGTATGCCACATCTTCTCTATGTTATGACCCTTTTTTTTAAATATAATTTAGTACATAGTTATTTTCAAATTTTTAAAATATATTTATTGATAAAACAACCATTTAAAAATTTACAATCCAGCGATATATAACAAAACTGAGCCTAAAATTTTATGAATCTAAAGTATATGTAAAATATTTTAAAGAAAAAGAAGCATGTTATATTCCCGCAATAAACAGTAAAATAGAATTTTAAAAATACGAAGAAAACAATATAATTGACAATAAAATTGATTAAAAAAAGAAAAAAAATTTATATGGATCAAGAACTTACTCAAAGGAATTAACATATATGCTATGACCTCCGATAAAGATTCCGTAAATACAATTTTACACATTGGCGAGGAAAAAGAACAAATATACAAAATTGATTATAATAAAATCGTGTTAAAATAAAATCATTCTACATTGTAAAAATTAATAATTATTTACACAATTCGAAAATCTATTATAATAATCCTCAAAAAACGTAAATCAAATTTAACCAATAGTGTTCCTTTAAAAAATATTTGTCCAATGATATTCATCATAACAATTTTAAGCAAATAGTTATTCCCATGTTTGTAATATGGCGAATTTCTTCAAATGCAACCTATAATTTAAAAATATAGATGTGATGATGGCACTTTCAGAAATAGTAGTTTATATCAAAGTAAATTTTTAATATTAATAAATTATTTTAAAGTTAGAAAATCAAACATTTTAGATTGCACAAGAATATTTTCAGAAACATGGATTTCCAAACTGCTTTCGCTCATTAGATGGTAAGCAGATAAAAATAAATAGTCCTGTCAAATCAGATCTTTTAAATCAATTGCTTGGTTTAGCTGATAGCAATATTTTATACAACTATATATCTTTTAATTAGGTAATTTTAATGCAAAAGTAAATATTTGCATCTCTTTTATCTTTTCTGAAAATTTGACCTTTCTACATGCATTCCATAGTGTTGTATATTTTCTCATAATTTCATAATTGTAGAAGTATATTATTCATAACTTATAAAATTTTTGATTAAATGTATAACCTTTTTGTTTTACTTGTATATAATTTGACTATGATTGAAGTTAACTTCCTATTATTTGTTAACTTTTATACAACTATATATCTTTTAATTAGGTATTTTTTATGCATAAGTAAATATTTGCATCTCTCTATCTTTTCTGAAAATTTGGCCTTTCTACATGCATTCCATAGTGTTGTATATTTTCTCATAACTTCATAATTGTAAAATGTATGTTATTCATAACTTATTATAACATTTTTGATTAAATGTATAAACTTTTTGTTTTACTTATATATAATTTGACTATGATTGAAATTAACCTCTTATTATTTGTTAACTTAGAATTAGAAATCTGCAAAGTTAAGCCCGGCCCGAATCGGGCCTAATTCTATTTAAAATAATCGGGTTCGGAGCGGGCTTGGCCTAATATTTTTTAAAAAAATCGGGCCGGGTCGGGTTTTGGAATTTTTTTTAAATATATCCAAATTTATCAATTTTATATTGAATTTTTTATGTAAAATAAAAATATTTTATTTATTGAAACTAAACGACATATAACATATGTCTTTTATTTTGAGTAATTATAAAAATTAATTTCTATATTAAAATAAATTCGGGCAGGGCCGGGTCGGTAAATTTTTTTTAAAAAAATTTAGGGTTCGGGCCGGGCCGGCAAAACTTTTTTAAAAAATTTTGGGTTCGTGCCGGGCCGGCTAAACTTTTTCAAAAAAAATTCGGGCCGGGCCGGGCTTGAAAAATTAGGCCCGTTGCAGATCACTATTTAGAATATCTTTTTATTTTTTCTATTGTAATTTAATAAAATGTCTTAATTTAATTTTATAATTTGTAACTAAGTAATAAATCATTTGGAAAGGTGGTGGTTTGTTTAAAATTTAAATTAGGATGAACATATTTTCAGCATGGTACTTTAATATGTATTCATGAATTTCATATAAATACCAGGAGTTTACCAGTAGAATGATAGGTAAATCAGATATTTCCCTTTCATTTGATCATAATTTTGAAAAATTTTACCAATGATATAAAATGGCAAAAAAAATATATACATATTAGACAGATTTAATTCTTATAAGCCCCTTACTATTTTTCTGGATCTAAGGAAAAAATAAATTATTCTTGGTAAATTCACAATTAATATGGACTTGGACGTAGCTTGGTAAACATTTTTCAAAATTAATAGTCTTAGATTCCTGAATTTTTTTTAATTTTAAATAAGGGCTAGAAATTGGCCTGAAAATTTCTTTTGAAGACATGGCCAGGTCTGATCAAAACCAAGCCCATACAACTTTCATATTCTGATTGTATTTTTAAATGCATTGTGACTTTTTATATATTTTATTTCAGTTCTCGACTACCAAAATTATTATAATCTTTGGCGGGTTTGAGAAAATTTTCCCAAGTGCGTGGACCTGGCTTTAGAATTTTTTAAATATTAGGCATAGGTGTAATATTTAACACATAATATTTATATGGCTTTCAGGTAAAAGCTAATTTAAATATATTATAATTCAAAAAAATAATATTCACTCTTAGTCTAAATGGGTTGGCCTTGGTCTGAAGTAGGGGTGAGCTGAGAATAAAAAATAGCTATGGTTTTTAGAGATTTACCTATCTCTAGGTTTGGGAAAAAAATTTGAAAATTACTATCAGGCTTGAGAAAAATTTTTATAAAATTATTATGAGTTGGCTGGGATTGGAAAATATTTTTATAAATTATATTGGGCTGGGCTTGGGGAAAATTTTTCAAAATTATTATGAGCTTGGGCGCTTGATAATTTTTTTATTATTAACTATGGGTCAGGCATTGGCTAAAAACAAGTTATTTTGTAGGCCTGGGCTTGGCCTGATGAAAAAACCCAGGCCCATGAAAATCTGATTTTGATTGTATTTTTAAATTCATTATGATTATTAAATATTTTATTTCAGTTCTCAACTACCAAAATTATAGAGATCTTTCATTGGGCTTAGAAATTTTTCAAAATTATTATGGCTTTTTACTTTGCCTGGGAATTTTTTTAATATTGAATATTAGGATAATATTGGTATTATCAAGTAAAAGCTTTAAATTTATTTTTACTCAAACCATAGTATTTACACTTATTTTAATGGATTGAACCTGGCCTGAAGGGGAGAGGGGGTAAAAAGAATAAAAATTGGATATTATTTTCAAATAACAGGTAACAACTAGCATAAAAGTAAGAAGAAAATTCTCATTCCCCGTTATTTTTGACGGGCTATCTACTAGTATAAAAATAATAACCGATGAGGTCACATAGAAACGAAAAAAATGTTCAAAGAATTATCGAAGATTACAGATAAAATCACGAAAATAATTTTGCATGAGTATAATAAAATTGATGTAACACTCAAGCCTCTAACTAAATCAATAAATAAACGTAAAAAATATTTTAAAAGACAAAAATAGGAAAAAAATCAAATCAAATAATGATAACGGTCTTAGAATATTTTAGAAAAAAAGTAATCAAAATTGCACAATATATGGTCTAAACTCGAATTCGATCAAAGCGAAAAAGTGAAAATCGAAGATAAACAATCAGCCAAAATAAAGGAATATAAAGCCGACATATGTAAATCGAACATGTTCCATGATAACTCCTATGTCGATGAATCCGCATCTCAGATAAATTAGAACAAATCAAAAACAAGAAATTATGAGAACTGGAGATTAAAAGAAATTGACAAGAACTATCTTTTATCCAAAAATTTTAAGAAAAAGTCGAAATATGTTGCTAACACACAAAATGGTGGCAATAAAAACGCGCTAATAAATGATGAATTTGGTCAATTTAAAACAAATCTAAACAAGGAAAGTGATATCATAAAACTTCTTACCACCCAGATATGTGCTCATAACGACGTATATATTTTAAAAAGGAAAGGTAAAAGGGGAGTCAATAAGAAATTTAAAATATAAAGAGAGGAAAAATTAAGCATCCTAGCTATTAGAAAGATTCATTCAATTAAAATGCAAAAGGGCATCACATAATTTGGGGAAAAAATGTCTACAGGACATCAAAATAAAGTGAAGGCAAGATTATTTTCTTGTTAATAATTGTTTGAACATATTTTTTTTATAAAAAAGGGGGATAATGTATTCTTCTAAATATGGTTTTTTATGATATTATCAGTTTTATTATTTTCTTAGAATTCTATTTTTTTTGTTCCAAGAATTATTTTTTAAAAATTATAAATGATATATTATATATAATTATGATGATGATATTATTATGATGTAAAACAGTGATAAATAAGAAAAAAATATATTTAACAAAAATTATGTTCAAATCCAAAAAATCTTAGTTTGTATGCCCAATTAAATCAAATCTATAAGGGGTCAAAATGGTATTTTTGATCGATTTGTCAATGGAGCATAAATATATACTTTTTATAATATGAAACTAAACAAACACCTTATTTATAATAAAGTTATTAAACAAAAATTCGTATAATTATCATTTTTTCATAGAGGTAGGTAATTAAACATAGCAAGTGACCCTTGGAGGAGATCACAAAATCAAAGATTTGTTCCCTAATCAAATTTTCATTTCTATTTGAAAGAAGGTGAATTATTTTACCTTATCTATGAAAAGGTTTTTCCTATGCAGGAGTATAGTTGTTATACCACTGACACTGAGCCGATAAAATGTGTATTTTTTTAAAATAGCAACTCGTGTTACTTTGACGTGGACTAACACATCTGACATTATAATACATGTTTACAATGAGTGTGCCGCCATTTTAATAATAGAAATAATTCACGTGCCCCTTTATTATAACCACGCTACCAGTTAACTGTTTACACAATATAGTTTAAAATAATAAAAAAATAGAATTCATTAATAACTGGCATTTTGTTAAAACCTCTTTCATGTTCGTAGGTTTCCTCTTCGTCGACTATAATTTCACAACGAGCGGAGAGACTTCGTGTTATGTCTTTGAAAAATGCCTAAAGATTTTATAAAAAAAATATGAACTCATTGATCCATAAATTTAAGAGAAACACCATTATTTTTTTAAAAAAAATACCACTCATCCATATATTTATGAATGATTAAAACATTATAGAACTGATAATTCAAACCTTAAATTTAATTCAATTATTTTTTATAATAATAATTAGATATTCTAAAAATAAAATGAAACCTCTAATGCTTGTTTAACGGTTGCATTTGGAGGAACGTATGCTCTTACAGCTAAAGAACCATTCATCGAAAATAAAAAACAAGGGTATTTGTTATCAAATTGTTTGGGTGAGCATTCCTTATTAAAGGGCTTTAAAAAATTTAATAAATAAACATCATTAAAATTGATGGGTGTTCCGAGATATCAGAAAGTAGAGTCGCTCAATGACATTAATTCTAGCCTAGACTGGCAATTCATTTAATAAAAATGTATATATTTGATCAACTGTAGTCAAGACCAATGGTTGGAGTGGAGGCCATTGAAAGGAGTTTCGTATAAAGGCCCCCCCCCATGGCGATTTCAATTTTCGTAGATTTTTAATACATTTGATGAATAAATCGTCTGTCTAGATTAGAGATAATGTCATTGGTGTCGCTATAGAGTATAGGGTGTTGAAAGTTTAATTTTGAGTAAGCGCGTAAAATATTTTTGATCCAGCGTTTCTACGAGAGTGATTCAATTTAAAATCACGCCTAGATTAAGAAATATAAATGAGCACCTTTTATATCAGGGCATTGTCTTTCTAAGAGAAAGTTTTCGGAGGCAACACCCTTTAATTTAACCTCTATATAACAGCAAACATTTCTTCTCCTCTTATGTGATATAATTTTTTATCAGCATTTTTATTTGTATTAATTAGTTGGCGTATGACCTTCTAACAAAGAGGAAAGTACGATGCAATTGCGTCATTTAAATTTTAAGGTAGGAGGGGGCTCAGCATAATTGACTGAAAGTTGGAAGAGTGTTAAATTTTATCTTGAAAATAGATTTATATGATTTTTTAAGTGATAAAATCTTTATAAAAGATTGCACCGGTAAAACAACATATCAATAGAAATTGATTGACAATCATCATTAACAAAATTAGGATATAAATTAGAATTTTAGCAATGTATTAATTACATTCATATTATTTAATAAAATTATGAGGTTCGAACCGGGTCACAAGCATATTTAGCGGTTCGGATAGAAAATGATTTTGCGGTTCGGGTACGGTTCAGTAAAAAGATAACGTAAATGTTGTTCAGGTCCGGTTTGGATCCCTGATTATATTAAATAAAAATATTTGATTACTATTAAATTATATTATTGTGAATAACTTCGAAATATATTATGCTTGTTAATTGCCTATTACCAATCATAATATATTTACTTTACATCTTATATAAAAGAGTTAAAAAATGATATAAATATACCATTCTTTCTTGTGACTTATAATTATCGGTCGTCTATTACTTTAATTCCTATTTTCTATATATTAACAATATTTTATAGGATAATGGCACAAAAATCCTCTAAAATATGGAAAAATAATTACAAAAATATCCCATAATGATTAATTATAAAAAATGACAGGTCTAGTACAGATGAAACTGAGGAACAGAAATATCCCATAATGATTAATTATAAAAAATGACAGGTCTAGTACAGATGAAACTGAGGAACAGAAACTATTTCAATCCGAGCACAATCCCAGCGGGACCCAATTTTTTCTGTCCAACCATGTTATGGATTCTAGGTTATAAATTCTTGGAATTAATTAGGGCTATGCCGATCCACAAATATTATGGGAAAAACATGAAATTTTAGAAATATTTTATTATATCCGTTTTGTGATAAACTTAAAATAAATGAAAATTATAAAATAAAATATTAGGAATTCAGTAAAAGAGTATATGTATGATGGAGACTAATATTTTACTTTTAAATGCTTTCATTCTTTTTTCTCATCTATTTAGAATTTTTTAGTTTTTTAAAATAAATTCATCACTTTGGGCATCGGTTACTGGTATTAGTTGAAATTAAAAGTATAGACCTATTATCTATGATAATATCCAAAAATAGAAGTGATCTAATCTAATATTCAGACTAGCTCAACTTAGGTCCCCTCCTTAGGGCCTACAGCCCATTTTATTGATCAAATGTTTGAAGTAAATAACAAGATAATGCTATAAAAAAATTAAAAAATCTGTCAATATATCTTCCCTATGAATTATTTTATATTTTAAAAAAAAACATATTATTCGGATAATTCGAATTAAACAAAAATCTTATAAAATTTGGAAAAAATAAATACACCGTACATTATTATTTTTGATATCGGTATTGGGCATCGATTGAAACAAACAAGGTGCGAAAGGTGAATGGTAAATTTTATTTGAATATGAATAGTAAATTAACCAATTCCGTTATAAATGCACCATTCGATTATGGTAAATTTTATTATTTGCTTGAATACGAATAGTAAATTATCCAATTCCGTTATAATGAGGTTAATGATAGTCCCTACTTTAAGGTAATACCTATCAAATTAGTATTTTGTTTATTTTTCATTTGGATAGGTATTATTAAATTAATTTAAAATATATATTTGAAAAATCGTGATTTTTGGAAAGGCTCTGTGGCCTAGTCGGCAAGAACGTCGCTTACCAATCTGATGGTTATGTATGGGTTTGAATCCCAGAAGGCGCGTATGCAGGAATTTGGTCTGGGGAGGGGGAAAATAAAATTTTTTAAGAAATATTATTGTTTTTAAAAAATACCAAGCATAAATTTATTAGGACTAATAACTATTCCTAATACACAATTTTAAATTAATGTGAATTATAAAAAAATTATATGTAAAGAATCACTTAAATTACACAAAATAGAAATTTGAATTTTTTGAGCCTTTACACAAAATGTTTCTTAGGAATAATTGTATTTTGTATGTTATATATTTACAATGTAAAATCCAATCTTCGTTGGGATTGAGCTATTTTTCAATTATCTCATCCTTGCTTGTCGTCAAATGCCTATGAATATTCAAAAGATCCAAACCTTTCAATCTATGTTTTTCAGAGAACTGCAAGCCCGGCCCCTGGTCCGGACAGTATTTTAATTTTTTTAAATATACCCGGGCCGGGCCCGAATTTTAAAAAAACCCAAGCCGGGCCTGAATTATTTTAAAAAAACACCCAGGCCGGGCTGTATTTTTTAAAACAGCCTATATTTGAAATCGTTTTTATTAGCTATAAAAATCAAAAATAAATATAATTTATTTTAAAAAATTCCAGGCCGGGCCTGAAAATTTTTTAAAAAAAGCCGAGCCGGGCCTAAATATATTTTTTTAAAGCCAGGCTGAAAAAAAACCCAGGCCGGGCCGTAAAAAACCTTTAAAAATAAATCCGGGCCGTGCCCTGCAAACGGTTCTTCTGCAGGTCTCTGTTATTCTTCTTAAAAAAGAGAATGTTCTCTCATTAGTTTACTAATGGAAAGAGTTTATAAACCCTTTTAATACATTGGGAATTTAATCTAAAATGTGTTTGAAATAATGCAGAGCATCCATAGCATATTTTGGGACTATATCAACCATAGTTAATCTTATAAACATAGTTATTCAGCTAGTAAGGCATCATAAGATACTTTAACATCTTCATAATAAAAATCTAACAAATATTTTTTTTTCTATCACGATCTGAAAAAGGTTGGGAAGGCTTTTGTGGAAGTAATATTTGCAGATGTAAGTGCTGCATGGTGAATTAAAAATTCATTTATTTGGGTTATAAATGTATCTGCATCTAAGATATACTCTTTTACTGATCCTATATTAATGTTTTAACGATTAGCTTGCTTTGCTACAAGTCGAGGGAGACAAATATTAAACACGTATAGCTCTGCTTTTGACTCAACAATAAAATATAAAATATGAAATTCTTCATCAACATTATTCCTAATTTCCTTGAGTTCTGATAAAATGCTCTCCGCTATTCTCATCTACTAAAACAAGTCAGTGTCATGTTTTTGAAAAGTAATACTTAAAATAGTTGTATAATAAAATAATACATTCTAATGAGAAATAAAATTTGGAATAACCATTGAATCCAATAATTTTCTTGCTTCTGATTCTTTCAGGCCATTGTGATATTTCAGTAATAGCAAATAATTGGCTCTTCTAACTCCTTAAAAGCTGTTACTGCTTGATGGCAGAGCCTCTATCTCGTTGGACAAGGTTGCAATTTCTTTTTCCCTGTTGGACCAGAAGTTTCAGAAATAATTATTATTTGACTAGAAATTTGAAAATGGTAGATAAATATTACGCCACTAAAAATTTGAAAATAATAAGTAAATATTACGCCGGAAAACTTGAAATCGAAATTAATTGATAAAATAACTTATGAATGTGATAATAAATGTAATTAAATATATACTTAATATGAGATACGAATAGATATTAACAAATATAAATAATATTTTTGAAAAATATATCCGGCATCTGCATTTTTTGGCTTTAGGGAAAGGGGGGGATTTGTCCCCCTGCCCCCCCTCTGCGTACGCCAATGAATCCCAGCAATGATCATGTTTTTTTTCTTAATTTAACTTGGTGGTTCCGTCCTTGGAGGGATGATATATAGGAGGCCAGACTCAACCACGTGATTCCGTTATAATATATGTTAAATAATAAGGGTCTTTACATTTTTAATAAATTTTGGTCGTATTTAGTGTAGTAAAGGAGTAATTTATTGTAATATTTTATTTACATATTATGTGTTATATTTGTCAGTTACTAATGAATATATATATGGATATTTTATAATATGTTTTATAATGTATGATGAGTATAATAATTATGTACGATGAACTTCGTAATATTTTATGTATACATTTATCCATATACATATTTCCTATTGTGAAAATGGAGGAATAAGTCGGAAACTAAAATGTATAATTGGCGACGTAGGAAAAAGAAAAGAACATATAATGTGAAGCCATTGGATGTTTTATCAAATTAACTATGGGAAATTAGTGGAGAATATCATTGAAATAATTTATATAATTTGCAAAATATGATGAAATTATGGTTAGTAATAAACTTTGTTTAGAAAATACATTAATGATATATGAATTAATTATGATTATGAAATCTTAAAATTAATTATGAAATGGAGATATTTGATTTATCCTGAACAAAATAATGAATTAATATAATTGCTGGCAAACAATAATTGATTATATTATGAAATTCCAGAAGAATGAATGCACACAATTATTAAACATGGGAATGATAAAATTATGAATATTTAGAAATCTGTTGATAATAATTTAACAATCATTTGAAAGATTATATTGGAACAATTATATGGGAAAACATGGGATTGGTTCATGGGATTTGGACATTGAGAAAAGGGTTACTAATAAAACCTGGCTAGTTTTGACATTGTGAAAATGGATACTGATAAATATATCTGATTAATTAAGACCTAAAGATATAAGGATGTTGGGCTCTCAAATCACGTGACCTATGCAAAACTATTGGGGCTTTCGTGAGCCAGATGTAGCCGTATTTGGGTTAAGGAACTACTTATACGATGCGGGATTTGGATTACCTCATGGGCCATCCAAGGATGATAGCGATCTCTTGGCCAGCTCTGGGATAATGATAACCTCGTGGGCCCTTCAAGTAAGATGTCTACCAATCTACCATGGACTCGATAGCGATACTCCGGTGGGAGATCCAACGAGATTGATACTCCAGTAGAGATCAAGTTTACAATGAAATCGATAAGGATACTCCAGTGGGATATCTGTCGATATTGATACTCTGGTGTGAGATCAAGGCACAATAAACTCGATAGCGATACTCCGGTGGGAAATCCATCGATATTGATTCTCCGGTGGGAGATCAAGGCACAATGGCTCGATAACAATACTCTGGTGAGAGATCCATCGATATTGATACTCCGGTGGGAGATAAAGGCACAATAAACTCGATAGCGATACTCCTGTGGGAGATCCATCAACAAGGGAAACGATATTGATACTCTAGGTTGGAGATCAATCAACAAGGGAAACGATGTTGATACTCTAGGTGGGGGATCAATTAACAAGAAAACGATATAGATACTCTAGGTGAGATCAATCAACAAGGAAAACGATATTGATACTCTAGGTGAGATCAATCACAAGGAAAACGATATTGATACTCTAGGTGGGAGATCAATCAACAAGGGAAACGATGTTCATACTCTAGGTGGTCAATCAACAAGGAAAAGGATATTAGATCAATCAACAAGGGAAACGATATTGATACTCTAGGTAGATCAATAAAAGGAAAACGATATTGATACTCGAAGCGAGATCAATCTTACCAAGGCAGCTGATGCTCTTTTGAGAGATCCAAATTTTAAATGGGGAGAGAAGAATGGATGTAAAAAAAGGTAACAACACATGGTAAAGGTAAATGGTGACCCAAGACAAGTATGTTTTAGGAGAAACTTTACTTTAAGTTGTGTTTCCTTTCAATTAATGAAGGGGAAATGTAGTAGAGTAATTTATTGTAATATTTTATTTACATATTATGTGTTATATTGTAAGTTACTAATGATTATTATGGATATTTTATTATATGTTTTATAATGTATGCTGAGTATAATAATTATGTACGATGAACTTCTTAATATTTTATGTATACATTTATCCATATATATATTTCCTATTGTGAAAATGGAGGAATAAAATGTCAGAAACTTAAATGTATAATTTAGCAAATTTGGTTGGTATTTAGAAAATTGCTATACTTTGATTTGGTAGTGCCTATCATTAATATAATGCACTATTCGATTAGTAATTGAATTCTGGTCAAGCACTCATCGGCACTTTATAAAGCACAAAATACTGTCTTAGAATTCAGAAATGATTAAAGTTGTAAAGAAAGCAAAATAAAAGTAACTGCATGAAAATAAGAAATATACAAAATATCTATTAAAAATTTTCATGATGGGGATCCAGGTGAAGGCCAAGCAAATCGGAGTTTGAAAATAAAGCACCCCCCCCCCCCCCCAAAAAAATAAATAAATAATAATGCCATAAAACCCTTCAGGCACATCACTGATAAAATATATAATTTTATGAGATTTTTTTAATCAACAATATAAAAAATATTACCAGAGTCGTTAAAATGTCAATAATAAACCGATTATCATATTTTGTATCATGATCCAAAAAACTGTCTCTTTTGTTATAAGGAGAATGTGAAATGGAGTCCTTTTGTTTATTCTTACTAGATTGCTTATATGGCTTACTATCGCTCTTTATTCTATCATTCTCTAGGTTCACAAGATTTGGAGCATAATCGCTGATCAGTTTATCCATATCTGCAGATTGATGGTTCAATAGAATATCATTGATTAAAAATGTGGCGGCTTTTGGATTGCTGGCATCACTTATTTCATTACTATAAGAAGGATTCAGTGAGTTAATAAATGATTTCAATCCTTGCTACAATATACAAAAAAGGTAAGTAATTCAATAATATGATATTTAGAAGAAAAAAAAAGAAATAGATGTTGAATAATAGTGATTAAAAACTTGCAAGGTATAGTGGTTTCAAGATCTTAGAGGAACAGCAATGGAAAAAAAATTAATAAGGTATCAAATCACATCACAAAGCTGTTATAATTTTCCAAACCATAACTAAAACCATTATATTAAAATCTCAAAAGGAAAAGACCAACATTCAAAATATATTCAAAATGGATTAAATCAGTTCATAACGTTTTTTAATTATATTTATTAATCTTAAAAATTAATAGCAAAATTAAATTATTAAAAATAAATTGCATAAAGATCTTAATATATGGTCATTGATCAGGTTATTTTATGTTATAGATTATATTTTATTTTTGGGTCAATTAATGTAATATGATTAATTTATAAAAAATAAAAATATTATATAACCAGAACCAATATAAATGTCTAAACCAGAACAAATTAATATAAATTTGTTCAAAGAAATTAACCCCAGTTAATAACTAAGACAAAAAAACAGAACTGTTATATATAACTGTTGATAACACCCTGCTTAAAAATAATAACTATTTTCAAGATTTCTATTTATTAAATAATAATTTTATAAAAAAAATAAATTATCTGTTGTATAATTTACTTTTAATTGGTTCCTCAATGTGGTATTATCAGTATATCTAGTTGTAGAATTAATCTTATTAATTTTTATATCAAGCAAAATATTCCAATCCAATAGTAAATTACTATCTATCTGACACCATTTGGTACAGAAGTTTTTATAACTCCATTTGATAGAATCTGTGAAATCTAATATCTTTAAAAAAATAAATAACTATAAAAATTATAATAACTTGATTTGATTCAGATATATGGTAAGCTGATATATTTATAAAAGCCTCTTTATCAAGATCGGTTGAAATTTTCATTAGCATTTTATTAGACGATAATAAATTTTGTGGTATAATTTGAAAATTTTGAATATTTTTTACAAGTCCTTGTAAGGTCTTAAAAAAATTTAAATATCATTATTCTAGGAATACTTGTTTAAATAAATTTAAATTAGAATCTATAAAAGCAGATGTTCCAATAACAAATATTCCAATAATATCAAGTCCTCCAGGTAACATATTATTTGCCTAATATAAAAATTATGAAAATATGGCATTATAATAATTCTATAGCATAAGTTAATTAAAACTAGATAACTTGTTTAGAATGTTGCCAAATCCAAGAAGTATTATATAAAGAATCCTCCGATATCTCTTTGATATATTTTTATTTGTATAAATAATATGCTAAATAACCTAGAGCATTTTTTCTATCCTTTCTTGTTTTAGCATTAGTATCTTCAGGAGTTTTTGCAATATATGGTATATAAAGTGCATCTGAATATTCCTTAATTTATAATGAAAAAGATTTCAGATAATAATTAATACCTGTCCAACAATTATCCCATAAACAAAAGTAGAATTTATATTCTCATATATATAAGTTTTAACTGATGTCTCAATAAACGTTTCTAAAAACATGTGTTATTATGAATGAAATGATTAATTGTTATTAAGGTATCGTCCCTCTAATTCGTATGAAAATGTGACGATTTTAAATTATGATTTTAGCCAAAATAATATTACAAAGTTTTCTAAAAATATTTAAATGTTACGAGTATTTTATTTAATTTAGAACAAATCAAAGTTACAAATTTAATTTAATTTATTTTAAAATTTTACATCTATTATCAAACTAAAAAATCAGGCTTATATAACAATTTCATATTAATATATAAAAATTTATATTAAAAAAAATCAATCTACACAATTTATAAAAAAATCAATTTAATTAAACATAAAAAAAAATTTAAAGGTTTCGGTCATATCAACATTCCACCCTTTAAAAAATGATCTCCACTTAGGTTTTTATTGCATGTGAATCTTATCGTGCAGTCATAGTCCTGGAAAATGATATTTATTTTGGTTGTTCATATGATTTTTCAAGTCGTTCATAAGTCATTGTAGTCGTTGGCTTGATTCTATCACGTTGGTTTGTTAATATCGTTTTGAGTACGCTGACTCTTCGTCAAGCTCTGTCGTTATCATTGTCAATTTAACAAAATTGTTATTATCACCAATTGTAAAATTATCATTATTAAATAGGATTTCGGAATATATGAATAATTAGAGAATCGATCAAATTTGGATGTATAATAATAAAAGGATGATAAATCAACAAGATTGTTAGATAATATTTTTAGCGTTTTTTTTATTTTTTATATATATTTTTTAATAAAAGATGATAAGATGATATGTACGTCTGTACATCCATCTCTCTCCTCAGAAATTTAAACTTTATGACCTTATTTTTTAATTTAAAAAGTATTTTGAAATAATATTTATTCATAAGATTGTTTTTAGTAAAAAATAATTTTTTGAGCCATAAATTTTTAGAAAAAGATCTCTTCATCACATCCTTGAGTATTATTCTAGAATGAAGATGTTTAGTTTTTATATGACTTCTCTTAGTGATACTTTTAATTGTCTTCAAATTTATAAGACTCAATTTTTTTTTATCGCATTTAATAAGAGTTTTTTTAATTTTATTATTTTCTTTAATCTTTGTCTCATTGTTTTCTTTAATGTTTATTTCCTTTTTTTCTATAATCACGAATAATTCAAATTTTATTATATAATTTATCTCTTCTTTCATTTTGAATATTTGGTTTTAATTCAATATTTTTCAATTTTTTGTTACTAAGAGATCTATTTTTATTAGAACGATTTTCTTTTATTTCTGTAGGGCATAAACATTTTAATGTACACAATGCTTCATCATAACTTGAATTTAACTCTCTTGGAAACACAGCTTTCATGACTAAATATAATTCATCTGGTAAATTACCTATTAAGCTTAGAGTATTCTTACTATCATGAAATTTTAAATAATCTTCTAATTTGTCAATGGACTTTGTTTTATTATTATTGTCCCATATAGGTTTATTCATAATTTAGAGATATCATTAAAAAAATTTAATTATTCTTCACTTTTTCAAATTAATCATTTCTTACGTGTTTTTAGAATGATATAAATATAACATTCCAAAACTTTTTTATCTAGTTGTCTATGTTCCAGTAGCTAAAATCATATTGTCTGTGGATTTAGAATATTTTGTAAGTCATTATTGCCCAATTTTATTTAGTTCGTCTAATTTGATATATGCTTCATCTGGTAGTCTTCTTGTAAAGGAACCTGTTTTTACGATGTCCGAGATCTGAGTGTCCTTGAAGATGTCTTCGAATCTATTCAAAAAAAACGCAACTGCCTGAGTATATTGGAAATTCAATATTTATATTAACATTATTATTGGGAATCTGTTTAATATTAATTTATTTACGATTTCCTCGAATATGTAGCGAAACTGCCACCATAAAGTTTTCTAAAAATATTTAAATGTTACGAGTTTATTTTATTTAATTTAGAACAAATCAAAGTTACAAATTTAATTTTAATTAATTTATTTTAAAATTTTACATCTATTATCAAACTAAAAAATCAGGCATATATAACAATTTTAATATTAACATATAAAAATTTATATAAAAAAAATAAATCTACACAATTTATAAGAAAATCAATTTATATAAACATAAAAAAAACAATTTAAAGGTTAGTATTAATCGGTCATATCAACAGCAGGCCTCAGGATTTGGCTATGAGATCTTCAAACAATTTTGCCATCTATGAGCAAAATCTCTAGGTTTCTAATAATTTTGGCTGATAAATTGGGTCAGCCGTTTTCAAAAATTGAGAACAAAATTATAAATTATGCGTCCCTATGTGCCCCCTATCAGAGAAGCCTAATTTAAATTATATCAATATAGAATAGTATTTAGATTTATAAGATGAGTTAAAAAATGTTTTTTTTTATTTAAAAAAAAAGATAACAAAGTTAAATTTGTAAATAATAATTTTTTTTACATGACTTAGATACGCGCGCCCTACAACAAAAAAATGAACGTAGAATCATATATAGCTTATTAAACGGAATCAAAAAATGCTAATATTATATTTAAAGGCTAAACATGATTCTGTATTCATTAGTGTTGTTAAACGACTCATCCGAGTCGGCTTAACTACGACTCAAGTCGAGTTTTTAGTCGATTAGTCGCCTCATTTTTACGACTCGAGTTCCGAACTTGAATCGTGAACTCAAGTCGTGACTCGAGTTCTGAACTTGAGTTTTGATCTTGAGTCATGAACTTGAGTTTTGATCTTGAGTCATGAACTCGAGTTATGAACTTGAGTCGTGAACTAGTCATAAACTTGAGTCGTGAACTAATCATAAACTTGAGTCGTGAACTCAACAGGTTATCTTAAATTTTATGAAACTCGATTACTTATATTAGTATTGTTAATTGGTTGGTTATGTAATACCCAGACCTGGCACTTGGCTCTAAAATTAGATTAAATCTGCTAAGAGCACGAGGCCCATGTATCTTAAGTTATTTCTTATTGAACTTATTAGTTAAATATATGGTTATTACAGATAAATCGATAGATAATTAAAAGACCTATTGAATATGCAACAATTCAAGCGCCACTTTTCTATGAGTGAAGCTATTTCTACGTAAACGGAAATTTTAATAACATGAATAGAAAAAATAATTCCTAAAATTATATTTTGAATTAAAGAGGTTGCTCGTAGCATAAACTCCTTCCTATTCCTATATTTATGAACTATTATTTTCCTGATTTTATTATATTTAAAATCATAAAAAATATATTTTTATTTTTATAAAAATATTAAATAATAAAAAAATGAAACATGAATTTGTTGATCCAAAATTTTTATTTATTTATTCGATTTTTTCATTGTAATTATAAAATTTAACTCATACATAGATTTATAAGATTTAAATAAATAAAATAAAAATAATTTCAAAGCGGAGTTGAAAAAATAGAATAAATAAAACAATGAATTAGATGCAAAAAAAATTTAAAAAATCCCCCACCCCTTAATTAGGTGATAGATAGGCGATTTGGTTTTTTATTTTATTATAAAATTAATTTCTTTTTTTTTATTTAAGATTTTTTGAAATATTAAATAATTTTTTATAAAAAAATGTATAATATTGCCTACAAATTTTTAAAGGAGATGGAAATGGAAGTTAAATTTAGGGGAAATGTTACTAGAAACCTCTTTATTTCCAAACAGGATTAATTTTAGGAATTGATTTTTTACATTCATGTTATCAAAATATTTGGTAATCTAGCAGATATTTTTCTCTTAATATTGTACAAAGTTAAAAATAAAATGTTAAGATCCAGACATTCCCATTAAGTGCAATGCTAAAAAAAAATTTTCACGAACAAATATGAGTAACCATATTTATTTTTTATTCCCGGTCAAATTAATATACACCATATAAAGGTAGTTAAAACTATATTTATTTGATACCCATTCATTATCATATCAATATTTGATTTTGATAAAATTATTCCTGACCTACGTAGAAATAACTTCACTCATCGAGAAGTGGCGCTTGACTTTTTGCCTATTCAATAGGTATTTTAATTATCAATCGATTTATCTCTAATAACCATATATTTATATACTATAATAAGTTCAATAAGAAATAACTTAAATTAAAATATATGAGCCTGAACCGCGGATCTGTGATCGGGGTTCTCATAGCAGATTTTTAGAGCCAACCAACCAATTAACAACACTATATAAGTAATTAAGTTTCATTGTGTTCACGATTCAAATTCATAACTCGAGTTCACGACTCAAGTTTATGACTAGTTCACGACTCAAGTTTAGTCTGGATCTTAACATTTTATTTTTAACTTTGTACAATATTAAGAGAAAAATATCTGCTAGATTACCAAATTAAGTTTTAAGATTTTTAAATTCTTTTTAACGGAAATTTTGATAACATGAATGGAAAAAATCAATTCCTAAAATTAATCCTATTTGGAAATAAAGAGGTTTCTAGAAACATTTCCCCTAAATTTAACTTCCATTTCCATCTCCTTTAAAAATTTGTAGGCAATATTATACATTTTTTTATAAAAAATTATTTAATATTTTAAAAAATCTTAAATAAAAAAAAAACGAAATTAATTTTATAATAAAATAAAAAACCAAATCTTAAGGAGTGGGGGATTTTTTAAATTTTTTTTGCATCTAATTCATTGTTTTATTTATTTTATTTTTTCAACTCCGCTTTGAAATTATTTTTATTTTATTTATTTAAATCTTTATAAATCATATGTATGAGTTAAATTTTATAATTACATTGAAAAAATCGAATAAATAAAAAAAAATTTTGGATCAACAAATTCATTGTTTCATTTATTTTATTATTTAATATTTTTATAAAAATAAAAATATATTTTTTATGATTTTAAATATAATAAAATCAGGAAAATAATAGTTCATAAATATAGGAATAGGAAGGAGTTTATGCTACGAGCAACCTCTTTATTTCAAAATATAATTTTAAGAATTATTTTTTCTATTCATGTTATT